ACAGGGGAGAGATTCTGTCATAGAGTTGGTCAGTTGCAGAGTGGAAAGGATCAGGGTTCAAATTGTGAAGGTTTCTGCGGGTAATTGTTGGCTGCTTGGAGGGATAGGTGTTTGAAGACGAGGACACTGTGAAGGTGATGGGATTGTGATCAGAGAGAGGATAGGGGGTGTTTGTGAGGTTGTAGGGAGTGCATGGGAGAAAACAATTCTAATGTATTCCCATCAGAGTGAGTGGAGGACTGTATACATTGTGCTAAGGCAAAAGATGAGGTTATGTTGAAGAGTTGGGATGTAGCCGGGTTGTTCACATTAATAGGGATGTTAAAATCTGTTAAAATCTCCGAGAATGATAGTGAGGAGAGAAAGTAGGGTAGCCAGGTGGAGAAATCATCAAGAAAGCGGGACACCGGTCCAGGAGGCCGATAGATCACTGCAATCCTCAGAGAAATGGGAGAAAACAGCCGGATGCAGTGAGTCTCGAAAGAAGGGAGGGAGGGTTATGGAGGACTTGAAAGGTGCTCAGTGGGGATAGAAGCAAACCAACTCCACCACCTTTCCAACCACTGGGTCTGGGTGAGTGGGTCCAGAGAAGGCCTCCATAGGAAAGTGTTGTGGAAGAAGAAAGGTCATGGACAGAGGTGAGCTTATTACAGACAGAGCGGGCATTGCATAGCGCACATGAAAAAGGGAGGGTGGTTTTTGGGAGCACAGGGACTGATATTAAATTGAGATTGTGGCTATTCCCGGAAGAAAGAGGATGCCTAGTGTGGGGGTGAGATACTAGAGAACCAGGGTTTGGGGAGATATCCCCAGAGGTTAGGAGAAGAAGAAGGGTGAGGAAAGGAAAGTAAGATGGGAGTGGGATGTACACGAGTGTACATGCCGCTCTGGTGTTTGGGTCAGCAGGAGAGTGAAGTATCAGCAGGAGGTGATGAGAGCAGTAGTAGGGAGATGGTAGCAGTGAGGGTGAGATGTACAAGTTTTGGGGTGGAGCAGAGGGGTAAAGAAGTGAGATTTTGGGAACGCAGGATAGTAATATGAAAAGGTGGAGTGGAGGAGACATATTAAAAAGGTACACAGAGTGGGACTCAGACTTGTTAGAGATGTTTCCCAGGGTGTTTGCTTGCAGTCTGTCCAGCGTGCAGTAGAGTTTCTTGCTGTTGTTGTGTCTTTCTGCTGCTTGAGTTATCCTGCTTTAGTTAAACTGCTGTGTTCAACTGCGTCTTAGCACTCCATCAAAACTAAGTATACGTCTGTGACCCAGAAGAAAAGTATGGCCAAAAGAGCTTTGGCCATACTTCTCTAAGTAAGATTGAGAATTGTTTCAAAATTTTACGTTCATCTAGAGCGGATTTGAAGCAACTCTATTAATTGTATACAATACTGTATTTATTATACAGCTCATAAAAAAAAAAAAAAAAAAAAAAAAAAAAAAAAATATTCACCCCCTTAAGAGTTTTCATGTTTTACCAATTTACCTTTTTTTATATTGATCAACAGAAATAGGTTAAGGTTACAATGAAAGTATATCCCTGCAAATGTGAGACAAATTGTTTATCCCAAAACACTGAAAAATACAGCCAGTTCTAGTCAGTATTTGTTAAATGCACCTTTGGCATCAATTCTTTTCCATTCTTTGTATTTTGCTGCATTTGTTCTACCCAAAAGAGTTACAAGCCTTCCAGGGTCTTCTGTAGATAAGCATCCCTAGAGTATGAGGCTGCCACCATCGTGCATCACAGTATACAGTAAAAAATTTTAAAAACCCACTTTCTTCCAGCTGAATTTAAAGTCTTTTGTGCCTTCTGGCATATTGTAGGCATTAAATATTATGATGGCGATACATGGTTAGAAAAAGCGTTCGATATGCTTGTTCAACTTTCGAAACGTTAACGTTCGAAACATGGGCTAATTTCAATTATCGAAATGCAAAGTTTGAGGACAAAAAAAGAACCGCCATGTTGGATTTTTTGAGCCAAAACAATTGATTTTCTACCATTAGTAGTGGAATCAATCAAAAACCATTCGAAAAAAAAAAAAATAAAAAATCTACAGCGTATGCACATGTAAATGTAACACCCGAAGCTCAAGCAATGAAAAGAAAGATCTTTCTTTTAAAAACAGCTGGCGTGTGGAAGGGTTCACAAAATCTTTACATAATTTCCAATGGTCGGCGAAAAATTTACTATTTATTTTGTGAACGATAGATAATATGTCAACAATTAAGGGAAATATTTCAATACAATGAAGGCATTATTGCATGCACATTCAACAGATCTTTAAAAAAAATTATCTATCCATGTTTGGCCAAGCATTGATTCACAGAGGCTTCAGTTTTTGTTTTTTTTTAACACTACTCCATAAGCCCCTGTTCACGCCAATGTGATTTTTGACCGTTCAAAATTGCATGACAAGTTGCACCCTATTTGTGCCTATGGAAACGTTCAAATCGAAGTGACTCATAATTTTATAAAAGGTTCCTGCACTATTTTTGGCTATTTCATACAGTCAGGTCCATAAATATTGGGACATTGACACAATTCTAACATTTTTGGCTCTATACACCACAATGGATTTGAAATGAAACGAACAAGATGTGCTTTAACTGCAGACTGTCACCTTTAATTTGAGGGTATTTACATCCAAATCAGGTGAACGGTGTAGGAATTACAACAGTTTGCATATGTGCCTCCCACTTGTTAAGGGACCAAAAGTAATGGGACAATTGGCTTCTCAGCTGTTCAGTGGCCAGTTGTGTGTTATTCCCTCATTATCCCAATTACAATGAGCAGATAAAAGGTTCGGAGTTCATTTCAAGTGTGCTATTTGCATTTGGAATCTGTTGCTGTCAACTCTCAAGATGAGATCCAAAGAGCTGTCACTATCAGTGAAGCAAGCCATCATTAGGCTGAAAAAACAAAACAAACCCATCAGAGAAATAGCAAAAACATTAGGCGTGGCCAAAACAACTGTTTGGAACATTCTTAAAAAGAAGGAACACACCAGTGAGCTCAGCAACACCAAAAGACCCGGAAGACCACGGAAAACAACTGTGGTGGATGACCGAAGAATTCTTTCCCTGGTGAAGAAAACACCCTTCACAACAGTTGGCCAGATCAAGAACACTCTCCAGGAGGTAGGTGTATGTGTGTCAAAGTCAACAATCAAGAGAAGACTTCACCAGAGTGAATACAGAGGGTTCACCACAAGATGGAAACCATTGGTGAGCCTCAAAAACAGGAAGGCCAGATTAGAGTTTGCCAAACGACATAAAAAAAAAGCCTTCACAGTTCTGGAACAACATCCTATGGACAGATGAGACCAAGATCAACTTGTACCAGAGTGATGGGAAGAGAAGAGTAAGGAGAAGAAAAGGAACTGCTCATGATCCTAAGCATACCACCTCATCAGTGAAGCATGGTGGTGGTAGTATCATGGCGTGGGCATGTATGGCTGCCAATGGAACTGGTTCTCTTGTATTTATTGATGATGTGACTGCTGCCAAAAGCAGCAGGATGAATTCTGAAGTGTTTCGGGCAATATTATCTGCTCATATTCAGCCAAATGCTTCAGAACTCATTGGACGCCGCTTCACAGTGCAGATGGACAATGACCCAAAGCATACTGCAAAAGCAACCAAAGAGTTTTTTAAGGCAAAGAAGTGGAATGTTATGCAATGGCCAAGTCAATCACCTGACCTGAATCCGATTGAGTATGCATTTCACTTGCTGAAGACAAAACTGAAGGGAAAATGCCCCAAGAACAAGCAGGAACTGAAGACAGTTGCAGTAGAGGCCTGGCAGAGCATCACCAGGGATGAAACCCAGCGTCTGGTGATGTCTATGCGTTCCAGACTTCAGGCTGTAATTGACTGCAAAGGATTTGCAACCAAGTATTAAAAAGTGAAAGTTTGATTTATGATTATTATTCTGTCCCATTACTTTTGGACCCTTAACAAGTGGGAGGCAAATATGCAAACTGTTGTAATTCCTACACCGTTCACCTGATTTGGATGTAAATACCCTCAAATTAAAGCCGATAGTCTGCAGTTAAAGCACATCTTGTTCTTTTCATTTCAAATCCATTGTGGTGGTGTATAGAGCCAAAAATTTTAGAATTGTGTCGATGTCCCAATATTTATGGACCTGACTGTATGTGACTTGCACAGACAAATGTGTAAATAGTCGCACAGATGTCAGGAAAGCTGCAAATGAAAAATCGCACTGACCAGCGGCTTTGAAATTATGCTGCTTCAAGCGAAGCAGCACGATTTCAAAGCCGCATTCAGTGTGAACCAGGACGAAGTTTACACTGATGCGGTGCAGCACATCGCATGCTATTTCTGTGCGGTGCAATTTGAGCCATACATTTTGTATGGCTCAAATTGCACCGCATGCGCACCAAAAAAGTGCAGGACCCTTTTTTAGGCCGCACTAGTATCCAATCACATGGGTATTCACACCCATGCGATCCGATTCTACACAACGCACCACGTTTTGCAAACGGATTTCAGGGTGTCGTTAACTTAAAATACACACCCGCAGTGGTTCGTATGAACAGGGTGCAATTATAATGCGTTGCGGCAATCGTACAGAAACCGGTGCGAATTCCGCACCGCATCAATGTGAATCCAGTCTGAAGCTCCTGGACAACATCTGTTGCATGATTTGTCTTCTAATCAAATGGCTGGTTATATACAGATTTGAAGACCTTTGACTGTACACAGGTGATCTCCCTTTAGCTAGTATATGATCAACTTAATTTTGTGATTAAATGTTCTAGGACAATAAAATTTAAGCCTTCAGTTATGTTTTATATTGCATTATATTGTGTTACACTACTGCAAGTCACCTAAAATTAAACCAGGTGGGTCAAGGAGCAGTGCGGGACTCTCCTAGCCTCTGCAAACTGCTTGTAAGACATGCAACATAAAGGAGGAGGTGTGTGGTTTATAAAAGGGTGAGTTGATTTACTGACAAAAAAAGAATATACAAGACTACCTGCAGCAAATTCTTCAATTGTCATAAGTGGGAACCGGATAAGGGACAATGCTTTGCCAAGAGCTTTGCGTTTATTCTCTGATGTTATTGGTTGCTGCTGTCGCTGGCATTCTGCCTCAGACCAGCGAACTACTGCATTAAAGAGTCTGATTTCACGGATCCCCAGTGTATCCCGTTCCAGCACTGCAACTAAGGTATCTGCAAGACAAGCAAAAAGGAGAGGGGTACATTTTAGGGCATTTATAAAAAAATAAAGCCAACTGTGGCAAGAACTGCACATAGATTACAAACACAATATCTGAAGATTAAATGTGCCATAACGAGGGTGAAAGAGTACTGAATGGAAAAGTAAATTCAAGTGAAAGGATGCATTAGTACTACTGGCTTTAGTAGTTCCAAAATAATGGCATACCACATCAAACTTTGTCAGATTAATGAAGGCACACTAGCAGCTGCATTAAAATGAAAAATCGCTCTTCAGAAGGCATTTGACAGATGGTGAGGAGCCATTATATCGCCTCCTCACTGCCTGATTAACGCCTTTAACTCCCCCCCCCCCCCCCCAGCACAATGGTTTAGAATATGCATAACTCTTATTATAGTGAAGATTAAAGCATTTTAAATATTTTTCAGGGTCAAATACTGGTTATAATTATTCTGTATTTGCAGATTGAGCCAGCAAGTAAACAATTATACAGTTCACACCATGTCCATTGAACTGCATTGAAATGTACACCACTGTACACGCATTGTATGACCAGGGCACATCGAACACTGTAGGATTGTTTCACACCTCAATTTTAAACGCACACACTTTTCAAACTAAATCAATGGAAATTCATGAAAACGTATGTAAAACAAATACGCTGAAGTGCAATGTAATGTGCCTTTAGAAAGCATCATATAGACTAGGTGAGGTGTAAACATACAGAATATACACATCAATGTGTTTTAATATACTTTTATAGCCACAAAATAGGTGTAAATGCAGCCTAAAACATTTATTTTGAGATAAATACAGGGATTTATTTAACAACATCTGTATGATTATGCTAGTACTCTAGCAGTCTCCGCTTTCAGTATTTTGAGTCAAAGACATGAAGCAAGCACAGTGAAAAGTTATTTGGCACAAGTCAAAACTCGATCGGAATACAGGATTTATTTTAGGTCAGCGAATAAAAGTACTGTAGTCTTAACATTTGCATGACAGTCAGGTAACTAGTTTGATGAAGCCGTTAAGCAATGGCAGCCCACAAACCTCTTTAGAACAGGTTTCCTTTAACCTTCATGGCAATTACTGCTTTTGAACCATGTTGATTTCACAGTGCAAGATTATCAATTTACTTAAAGTGTTACTAAACCCAGGACCCTGCATTCACTATCTGGTCTACCACAGTACACAGAATATGGAGATGCAATTATTTTAGTAAATATAAACTGCTAAATTCACCTTTCCTCATCAGCAGTTAGAGCAGTCTTGTAACATCTATCAGTGTCCAGCAGAGCACTGGTTAAACCTAGCAGGAGTAGTTTTCATTCTTCCCGATTGTCCTATGATGCTGCATAACCCCTGACCCTCGGTTTGAACAGGGATGCTCAAATGCACTCTAGTAAGAAAAAAAAAAAAAAAACTCTCTAGCAATACACACCAAACTGAGAATGTGCAGCTTGCCCCCAAGGCTCTATTCTATCAGCAGATGGATTGGGGACAATAGAAGGGGAGGATCAGAGAAGACAGGATCAAATATCCTTTTTATACAATGTGGAGGATTAACTCCTTAGGTTCCACAGTGAGTATGACAAGCATGCTTTACTGCATAACTATAAAAGCTTCAGTACAATTTAGACCAAGCTGCAACCGCAGAGTCCGTTTTAGACAGAGAAATTTGATGTCTTATCTCTCCAGTTTTAAAAAGGAGGAAAAATCCAGGCTTGCCATAATGGTTTACAGTGCATATAGAGCAAAAACTTGGTTGGTGTAATGGTAATGTGTACTGGGCACACGAAAAATATGTGTGTGGCAACCATGTTGTTCAGGAATCTTAGCGCGATAATGACATTTAAGTAGAATAGGGACACATTGCAGCAGTGAATTCCTAGGAGTGCACCTCCATAGCCTAATAACTTAAGTCACAATTCTACAAGGGTCTGGGATTTCAAAAGAACCAATCAGCTCAACTTAGGGACAGCAGAAACCAGTCTGCTGGCCACTTCTTAGCAGATATCCTCTCACTAGCCCACTGCTGTAAATAATTTAGCTGGAGTAGTCTGCCAATACACATTGCCGTTTATCTTTCCTTGTATTCCATTATTCCTGAGATAATAAACATTTGGCAAAGCTATCAGTCTAACTGTAATAGCTACTGTAAAACAATAAAAAATTTTATTATGTCATGCTTGGAGCCTCAGGGTAATTAAACCCATTAGGAGTACATGACACTCCATAAAAGGTCTACCCAGGGCTGATTGATATCGTAAAAGCATTTAGACCTGATCATTGGCTAATAGGCGTTCCTCTCTGACTGGTTATTAGCAAAGAATCAAAAAGCTCAGTGTATTTCATAAGTCTTGAGATAACAACAGTACAGCCAGAAAAAAAGGACACATTTACCTCTATCAGTTAATTAACAGCGGTTTAAGCCCAAACATCCCTATATAGGATGGGAAGCTAATGGGGCACATTACCCCTCTTAGGTAAAGTAGACATCCAACACCCCTCATATTTATATTCATTCAAAAGGGAATTTCACAATGGACAATTTGCAAGTTAGCAGATGGCCTATAGGTATTTAAATATATTAATACCTATAGAAAACTGGATCTGTGGCATGACCATAAACACAGTGACATCCCATTGGTCACTCCTCAGCCGCTTAATTGGTAAGATTATTTCTGTCAACACCCCTCCCAAGGTCCAGAAAAGGAGGCTGCATCCACATTTGACAGCTCACATTTGACCATCAAAACATCATCTGTAAAGTCTTATGAGAGCCACTGTACCATTTTGTTTGTTGCTTGGAATCTGCTGAATCAAGACTTGATAAGTATTTTCCATCCTTCAACCCGTGTTGCATTGTTGTCTCTTTGCTACCTTTGTAATACCCTCTCTCTCTGTAAATATTTTATCTGCACCATTTTCTACCCTTTCATTAACAAAGAAGGTTTTGAAAAGTGTTGAAACTGTCTGTCATGCACTATTGCAGAACTTAAAGCGGAGTTCCACCCAAAAGGGGAAGTTCCGCTTAAGGCCTCGCCCCTTGCTTCCGGTTAAGGATTGGCACCTTTTGGAAGTGGGTACTCGATTTTGATAAGTACCCACTTCTGTTGTGATCACCTAGGCAATTGGAAGGAGAAGTTGTCCTCCCTCCCCATAGTCTTCTGGGACACGTCCTAGAAGACTACAGGACCATTCACAAGGCATTGCGCTACACGAGCATGAGCAGTGGGCACCCAGCTGTGAAGCCGCAAGCTGTCACAGCCGGGTGCCCACACTTAGGATGCCGGCTCCGGGGAGTGAGGGTGGCTGGTGAAAGGGGCTGCGGTGAGCACACCGCTGGATCATGGGACAGATGAGTGGTTGTTTTTTTTAAAAGTCAGCAGCTACAATTTTTGTAGCTGCCGACTTATTTTTTGTAGGTTTGACTGGAGTTCCGCTTTAAAGAATCCCTGTCTCTTTGAAGAGCGCCACTACATGGCAAGTGTACGGATATACCTGTCTGTGGTGACAGTGTATGTACAAACGTTTATTTAAAGCACTGGTATTGCTAATATAGTGAACAGGCGATAGGCCAAACCCCCAATCTGGTGGCAGAGTAAAGGGTTAATTGCTTAGTTACCAAAACACGTGACAATCACTCTCAATCTGTTGGCACTTAGACGGTGGTCCTGCTAGCTGAAAAATCTTTGTGGGTGAGGGTGAAAGTGTCATTGTCGTGTATCAATGACAGAGCAGTGAGAGTTTGACAAAGCCATTTGTCACAAGCTGGTGCAGAGGGCAGTGGTCTGGCACCGCATTTGTCACAATTGGGTAGGGAAGAATTAGAACTTCTGGCACTTTTTACTGCAGTCATTATCCCTCCTGGGTAGATTTGCCCTATCCATTTAATCTGATGACCATTGTCACTGGGATAGAAAATTATAAAAAATCCAAACCTTTTACAGTTGTCTCCAGAACAGGAATAGAGTGTATATATATTCTAATAAGAACACTTGTTCTGGGGACAAATGTCTAAGAGGGGAATTCACTCACTATGTATAATTGTACTCTTACTTCCTGTTCTGTCTCCATGCCAGGAAGTGAAGGCAAATCCCCCCAACAGGACACAGACAACAAAATAAACTAGCTTGGGTTTTAACTGTCCTCTATTCTTTTTTTTTTTTTTTTTTTTTAAAGATAAACACCCTGAAAAAAGTTTTGGGTATATAAACACTACAGGATTAGGTTATCAAAAATCGTTGGGCAAATTTCAAAAGCCTTTGCCTTGTGATTTCTGGCTGTATCTTGCTTAATTTGTTGATTTCCTACAGTTGTCAGCTCCTTCTAGTGGCCATAATATAGTATTTGCCTGATTAAGGTTTTTTCAGAAAAATATGTATATTATGGCCACTGAATGGAGCTGATGATCATAGGAAATCAACATATTGACCAAAATACAGCAAAAATTCATGAGGGCTGGGCAAATGCCAACAACTGTGTTTATACACAGACTCCCAAGTCTCCGGTCTGGTCACAAAACCCCTTAATTAATTTCTCTCATTTATGAGGAAAGATTAGAGGAACTGAATTTATTCTCTCTTGAGAAGAGGAGATTAAGGGGGGATATGATCAACATGTATAAATACATCAGTGGCTCATATAGTGAGCTTGGTGTAGAGCTATTCACCCTGAGGTCATCACAGAGGACAAGGGGGCACTCTTTACGTCTGGAGGAAAATAAATTTAATCTCCAAATACAGAAAGGTTTCTTCACAGTAAAAGTTGTGAAAATGTGGAATAGACTCCCTCAAGAGTTGGTTCTGGCCAGCTCAGTGGATTGTTGTAAAAAAGGCCTGGATTCTTTCTTGGATACACAGAATATAACTGGATACTAACATTTATAGGTAAAGTTGATCCAGGGAAAATCCAATAACCTTTTTTCAGCCAGACTAACTATGTAACTAAGCTCTATTTAGTGCAATAGCCAGGACTGTAGCTTGGG